TGTCAAATTCTTTCTTACCCGATTCCTTTCTAAAATGCAGTTTAACTCCAAAATACTTTCTAACTTCTAATACACCTCATATTACCTCTCCCAAGTTTTCTCGACCTTCCAGATCCAATGAAAACCTTATTTTGACCTAAAAATAGTTAGAAACCTACCTAATCACTATTCTCAAGGTTAAACACCTTCAAAACTAAGTTTGAACTGAAAATTAATTCGTCCAAAACTCAAACTTCATGATCAATTTTTTAACAATGATTCGAGGTTTTTACAATACTTTTATTCATCCTAAGTGAAATATTAATTTTTTAATTATAATACGGGGTTTTACAATCTACCCCCTAAAAGAAAGTTTCGTCCTAAAAACTTAATCATCGAGTTAGTTTATCTAATTCTCATTTGGCCATGATGTCTCCACTTCTATTCATCTTTTAATGGTCAAATCTAAGATTAAAATAAAACATCATATCCTAAATTTTAAATTCATCCTTTCAACTTATACTATCATTGCGGTTAGTAAAGCCCCCAAGTTTACCTTCATTCACCACTTTCGATTATTCTTTATAATCAATGATTCCATGTGATTGTTTAGACTAATTTACGTATCATGCATAACTACCAAATTATAATACTTAATTATCTACTCATCAATATCACCTCTCTTTTGAATTTCACCAATCCATTTAATAAACATCATGTTTGCTTCTTACATGTAGCTTATCAACAAGCATACCAAAACAACTCGAATACAATTTCTGCTAATAGAGTTTCTCATATTTTCTAAACTCAAATTAAGGTATAATCCAAAACTTAGCAATGGCATTACGGTAAGTTATACAATGATTCCTTAAATAGATGCATCATTCTTAATGACTTTATCTCCCACTAGACTAAAGAAACTCACAATACTTAAGATCTAATTATAACTTCACACCCTATGGACACTTATCAATTTTTGTAGTTTGGTGGACACCGCAAGATTCCCAACCATTATAACCATCAAACTATAAATCATGTTTTCCAAGAAATTGAATCTCACTCTTTAAGCTTATACTTTTTGCATTCACCACTATAACCATAACTAATGGTTAATTCCACTAATATTAAATTTAATCCAATGAATCGTTGCACACTTCTGATATAAATTATAATCCAATAATCATTAAGTAGAAACTAGCCTCAAGAAAATAATTCACATAGGTTCATAGGATTTTGTGAAGATATGTCATGTTTCACTACATATGTTCTTTGTTTATAACTTCTAAAATATATTCACTAACGATCCATCTTTCTCCTTCAAAGAAAATTTTTTGTAAATAACCAAATATACTACTTTGGCTATAGGTCAAGTTGTAGCTCTAAAATATCGTTTTTAGTCCTCAATCTTACATACAACTTAATAAGCTNGCTTCTCATGAATCTACACAACGATTCTACCTCGTTCACTCATCACAACAACACAATCTCAATCATTCTCCGCAGGGCCAAATCACAAACCACTTTAAGAAAGGCGTATACCGTCTCCCACGACATTGACGAATCATTCCCATAAAAGGTATAACATTCCTCGACCTCAAACTTACGTGAATAATAATTGTTGCTCTCACAAACAACAATCTACTACAAGTGTTAGGCAACCATCTCACCCCCATTGAGATAGACTAACCTCTAACATTCTATATGGCAGCTCTTGAAGGCAATTCAAGTCTGTCACAACAAACCATACAAGAGATGAAGCCACAATATTCTCAACAACCACAATATTAACCAATCACAATTTTCATTAATAATTTAAGTATCACAACTTCACAATTCTCAATATACTACAATAATAAATGAATTAAAATATACAAGAGATCATATTAAGAAAATCTTCACAATTTCAATATTCAAAATTCTAGTGTTTTGCCAAATATTATAATTTTTTGGAGTAAGAACAAGTATTAAATGAAAACATAATTTAATTAAAAATAGGAATTTAAAAATCAAAAATCCATATGAATTTCACAATAGAACATGTATTTTAGAAAAACTAGGGTTTTGAAAATTCAAGAACAAGTATTCCTTGAACCCAAACATACATTTTGTTCAAGACCATGTTCCAATGATAAAGAAACCAAGAATTCATACATATTTATCATATAATTATCAATACAATTGAAAACATACATATATAATACCCTAAGTCTCAATGAAAGAACTCAAGAAGAATCTTCTACCTTGATTCCATAGTTTGTGTGTAAACCTAGCGTTTTTGATTCGTTTCCAACATGAGAATCCCCCTTAAATCTTATGTTTCTCTTCTTTCCTCTTGCTCTATAAGGTTGCCTAGGGTTGAAAATTGATGAAACATGTTAAAGGGACGTCCATATGATATTTATAGGGTAAAAACGGAGAAAAACCCTAAAACTGATCGGGACCATTTTTAGCATAGCGTCTGAACGGTCCTTGGGTGTCCGGACAGTTCAAAATCACTGTTTTTTATAAAAAATAAAGTTTTTGGGTAAGGAGTACCGCTCGGACGATGCTTGGAGCGTCCAAACGGAGGTAACTTTATGTCCCAACTTCAGGAGCAGTTTTCACCTATTTAGAAGTCGATTCAAGAAATTTTGTGAAACACACTTTTGTAACCCTTGAAGTCTAGTTTCTACTGTCCAAATATCAACTCCATTGGAGTTCATATTAAAAAGTTATGGCTAAAATACTAAAATAGTGTCAAATTCTTTCTTACCCGATTCCTTTCTAAAATGCAGTTTAACTCCAAAATACTTTCTAACTTCTAATACACCTCATATTACCTCTCCCAAGTTTTCTCGACCTTCCAGATCCAATGAAAACCTTATTTTGACTTAAAAATAGTTAGAAACCTACCTAATCACTATTCTCAAGGTTAAACACCTTCAAAACTAAGTTTGAACTAAAAATTAATTCGTCTGAAACTCAAACTTCATGATCAATTTTTTAACAATGATTCGAGGTTTTTACAATACTTTTATCCATCCTAAGTGAAATATTAATTTTTTAATTATAATACGGGGTTTTACAATTTACCCCCTAAAAGAAAGTTTCGTCCTAAAAACTTAATCATCGAGTTAGTTTATCTAATTCTCATTTGGCTATGATGTCTCCACTTCTATTCATCTTTTAATGATCAAATCTAAGATTAAAATAAAACATCATATCCTAAATTTTAAATTCATCATTTCAACTTATACTATCATTGCGGTTAGTAAAGCNTCATGATTCAATCCAGAGTAAATACATTTCTAATTCATAAGATAAAGATAAATTTCGAAGGATCACAATAATCTCTCTCAATTCAATACGATCAGACTTCTTGTAATATAATCATGGTCAAAAACAAGACTCCTGATGATTAATCCAATGCTCCACGATTTAACCATATTAATCATTATAGTCTTAACCATTATTCATAATCCTCAGGATAATAACGATCTGTTAATTATTAGGATAACCATAGTCATTTATCCCAAATATTACATAAAGTTTTGCATCCATGTCAAAGTCAATCTACATAGGTATCATTATTGATTTCTCAAATTACATCTTCTCAATTATCACCACTAACCATCAAGTTCAAATCTTCAATACTCATACCAACAATCCTCAAGTATAACTAATCGAACATATCTTAATAGTGTACTAAAAGAGATAGAAAAAAGAACTTCATATTCCCCCAACACAACTCCAATAACATTAAAATCTCTCACAAGAAGTTCATATCAAACTTTGCTATATCTAACCTCGAGCTTTTTAAAAACCTCTATAATATTTAATTCTACAATATCGAGGGTCAAAAATAAGTACTATAACTTAGTCAAGCTTCCTAGATTTTCCTTTTTACATGTCTATAAGTTCATTTTCATAATTCAACCTCAAATTTTTAGTCAAAATTTGCAAATAAAAATCAACTATTAACTCTACACCAAACCATGAGATTCTCGATTGTTAATACTTTAGAAAGTTTAAGTGTAGTGAACTAAGCCTACAACGAAATATGATTACCTGAGTTTAACATTTTCAATGAGTATATTATGTATGACCCTTCTAAATTATTAATATTTTCAAAATAAATTTAATCAACTCCCGTAATATTTTCAAATCAATATTCGTAACCTCAAGTATATGGTTATGAAACAAACTCCTGTTTATTTAAGAACCATAACCACAATTTTTATTGTCATTCCAAAATAAGCTCAGATTACAGACTTATTAGTTATCTATCTACTTTTAACAAAACATTGCTTAGGGTCAACGGATTAAGTTATGGCGTGTGCAATTAGGGCATATGAGTGAGAGATGACTAGATGTGCTAAGCAACTCATACGGACTGTCAGTGCTCTGGCCTTTGGGCAAAATTTTCTCCTTGGAATTGTCCTTAACACAATTGCGAGGCATGAAATTCAAACCAACAAATGATTGTCTTTGGAGAATTAATGAAACGAAAGAAGATTTTGTTGTATACTTGGGACCTGTAAAATATCGGATAAGACATAGGATGAATTATTATGGGAAATGGAAGAAGCACCAACATTTTGAATATGCAAACCTTGGCCATTGCCCACTTTGACAGTGTCGTTGCCATGATACTCTGACAAAATATTCAAGTTGGAGAGATCAGGGGTGATATGATCCGCCGCACCAGGTCAAGATACCAATGATCTGAGGGAGTAGAGGGTTGACGAATATGATAAGCCTGTGGGGAAGACATTGAAGCAGCAGGTGGTGAGGTGTTTTGTAAGGCCTCATTGTAATGATTATGGCATTAGAGTGCTATATGACCAATTTCGTTGCATACTTGACAAATTGGTCTAGAAATGGAACGCGGACTGTCGAAGGAGTTTTGCTAGGTGACTAGAGGATTGATTGTCATTTTATTGGCAACAATGGTTGCGACCTCCACGAGAATAACGCTTTTGACCACCACAGTGCGGTTGGGTATGTCTGGCAGGTGAAGGAGATGATGAAATAGTTTGTCGATGGGCAACATTAGTGGCACGAGGCTAGTCAATGATAGCATCGCTGGAGATGCAAAACTCTTCGGACATGAGATGACCCAGGAGGTCAACGAGAGAAAGCGACTCCACGCCAGTGACTATAGTGGTATGAAACGGCCCATATTCATAGGGCAAGCCACCGAGAATGTAAAGGATGAGATCGTCATTGGAGACCGGACGATCGGCAATGGCAAGTTGATGAGCCATGGGAACATTAGTGGTGGAAGATTAGTCAATGATAGCATCACTGGAGATGCAAAACTCTTTGGACATGAGATGACCCAGGAGGTCAACGAGAGAAAGGACTCCAAGCGAATGGCTATGGTGGTATGAAAAGGCCCATATTCAANGATAGCATCGCTGGAGATGCAAAACTCTTCGGACATGAGATGACCCAGGAGGTCAACGAGAGAAAGCGACTCCACGCCAGTGACTATAGTGGTATGAAAAGGCCCATATTCATAGGGCAAGCCACCGAGAATGTAAAGGATGAGGTCGTCCTAGGAGCAACTAATCTTGGCGTTGCCAAGCAATGTACTCGGGGGTTAATGGTATTGGTGGAATCAGATGTTACAAATTGAACGGGGCATGGAATGGAGCCGTCTACGATTCCAAGAACTTGATGTCCATGAAGAAGGGGCAGAATTTGTGAAACCCATAGTGAAAATTGGGTTGAAAATAATAGAAAAATTTGTTCTGATATCATATAAGAACAAGCTTTTACTCTAATCCATGTTTTTTTTTAAATTCATACCCAAAAGATGATCGTTTTCAAACTATTTTTCAAATTCAATTACTTTTAAAAATGTCAATTCAAATGACGTTTTTATATCAAAAAAAAACATTATTTGAACTAACATTTTCTAAAAAAAGGTCACTTCAACTTCAACCAAAAACCCTTCATTTTTTAAAAAAGTCACATAAACTGTAAACCTTCTGATCTTAAAAACGTTGGTTAAACCAACGTTTTTATCATCTGCCATCCTCTTCTCTTCTTTTCCCTTCCGCCTTCAATCCCTTACTTTCCCCAAATTCGAAATCAACCGCCCTCATTCAGTACGAAACCCACGAGCAACACCACCATCACTAGCCCACATCCCCAGCACCACCACCACCATCTGAAACCACCAGCAACACTACCATCACTATCCCACAGCTCCAGCATCACCACCATCCGAAACCCCCAGTCACAGCACCACCACCACCATCCGAAACCCCCATACCCAGCACCACCACCATCCAAACAAAACATACCCAACCTCTCTAGTCAAATTGACCTAATGGAGATTCTACCTGAGTGGGTCATAGTCGGATTTTCAGCTGCTACAGGTCAGAATGTAGAGAGACATATACTTCAGTCATGGGAGTTCAATTCAAGTCCAGAAGTAGAAGAGACAAGCCGACACAATGCACAAGAGTTCAAATTAATCTTGGGTCAAACAATTCCAGGGTGTTTTGATCAACGGTGGGGCAGTAGCAATAGCATTTGTGATTTTGAGGAGACGGAGGCGGCAAACCATGAGAAGAACTGCAGAGACTGCCGACTCTCCCGATTCTTTTTTCAGATTTATTTCAATAGACAACGTAATTATATACTAATTATGAATTTTTAAGAAAAATTTAATTTTTTATTTTTTATTTTATTTCAATAAATGATATAATAAATCACTAATTTTGGTTATAAAATTTAAAATATTTGACATTTTT